TAAAGAGAGCTGAGAATTACACACCGGCGTTTGCACGTTCCATTCATGAAGCATGGAAGAACGAATGCATGGACCGCAGACGGACCAAGTCAGCAATTCAGGGCAGGAACAGAGATAATAATCTCGCGTTACCTTGTGTTGTCATCAATAGTGTGCCGCGTTGCAAGTCTAAGGGACCCGTGTGTCCGACCTACGGTCGACACCTCGGGGATAAAGCACACTGCCGTAGTCGCTCTTGCCCTGAGGTGAGAGTGGACTACGTCCCTCCATCCGAGGGGCGCGCAATGGCTGGCGGTGGATATACTCCATGGCAGACGTCTTTCGATGAAGGTGACCCACTACCTGGGCATTCTTCGACGATGCCACCTCCGGGTTCTCATCCTCGTGGCCCACGTGCGCAACCGTCTGGCGCACCATCCATGGTCGAGACGCTATCTTTCCGTGATTGTCGAGGAGGCGTTCTACCAGACGATGCCCTTAAGGAGATCCGGAGGGTGAACGGCGTGCTTTCCCGACTACGACAAGCACAGGAACAACTACCTCCGAAGTTCATGCACGGGATGGTCGCTCCAAATCACCAGATCATGAATTGGGCAAAGGCAGGGGTGCCCGTTGTCTTCGTGGCAGCAATTTCTGCACCTTGCAGCCCACACAACGATCGACAGACTCGTCCCCGTGAACTATTCCGTGCACTCGTCTATGCCTTGAAGGAACCAGGATCTATCGAGACCTGGTGGCCAAGATCAAGCGTGCATCTTCCTGTCTGGCACGAATCCAGAACGACCTGTTGCAACAGACCACGAGTATCCTATTCGATTTGGTCGATTTGGAACTACTCAAGGATGTCAATCTGTTTGTGGACGTACTGGAGCAAGACGCCAGGGATTCCAAGGTTGACCCCGCTGCCACCGCTTTGGAAGTGGTTACTGACACGGACTACTTGAATCCGGCGCTCGTTTGCAAACCTATTCCGGTGCCGACTGGGTTTATTCACACTACCCGCTACCAGGCCTGGTACGAAGCTCAGCAGGTTTACTATGAGAGCACTCCATCTGGCGTGAAACTGGGATGGAATACTCTGATTCTGCTACGCAATTCGGTCGAGAATTTCTGCAGCCACATGGCCTACGGCCTGCGGACGCACAATCGTGACCACCCGGACCATCGCATGACCGTGGTTGATTTGGTGCGTCTAGTGCAGCTATACATCCAGAAGAGTTGGATGCGCCGTTGGCATATGCGATGGTGCTCGAACGCTAAGGCTGTATTCCATCGACCACTCGTACAAATGGCCTGAACAGGAGGACTTGAAGGGGACCATCGACGAGATCTTGGACCTACTATCTAAACCTCCTCCAGCCGGCGCGGGACTCCCACACACACCATCGCAGTCGCTTCTTACAATCAATTGAGGATCGAGAGTGGATTGCTGGCGGATTATTCCTGGATGAACCAAGCCTTCAAGATGTGGAATCAGGCCATCGAGGACATGGATCAAGATATTGACCGTGGCCTACGGCCTGGTCATGTTTATCTGATGCCAGGTGACACGAACTTTCCTCGTCCCATTGCGGCTCACCCTCCATGGGCAAGGTGTTGGTGACGCCGATAGTTCTATTCCCGAAGGGCCTACACATCCTCTGCTGCAACCTACTGCCAGCCGCACTTCGCCACCTGCGCCAACGCCAGACAGGGCTGAACAAATCCCGAAGAGAAGTAGGACAACCGCAGAAAGCGCACCAAAGCCTACATCGGCGAGGACGACGGCCGCATCTGAAGCAGCTTCATCCAGTGGCCGGCCAAGACCTACGGTCGGGTCGAGCACGGCCACACCATCCACCAGTGAACCCGATGCGCCACCTCCTGAAAGCGGATGGGATCTACCCGTTGACACGACGAATGTTGCGCTCATCACTCATCATTTCAAAGTGAGGTCGGGAAAAGTCTATGGGACGAAGGTCGCAAAACGTCGGGATGGTGGAGGCTTCGTGAACGCCGTGGACGAGACTCCTAGGCCTGTCATTGGCAAGACGTTTCAACAGATCTATTTGAGACGACTGGTCACAATGTTGGCGAGGTCTGGTGGGTTGTCTGCGAACGTGGAGGCAGGATTTCATCTACCCACATTCATACTGAAAGGGGACGAAGAATGGCTCCGGCTCTACAATCAAATTTACCAGCGGATGCATCTGGGTTGCACCCAGTGCCTTCCTGAGCCGGCTGTTCTCTCCGCATGCGTGTTCGATGATCGTCAATCCGACGAATGGATTCGCCCGAACTTCCCTGAAAATGAAATTGCGGAGCTCCGCGAGGCAGAGGCGAGTTTATGTGAAGTCATGCGCTTCGCCAGCCGTGAAGACGGTACAGTTTGGAAATCCGAATGTACCCTGCTGGTGATGGATTACAACCTGCACTCGAAGTCCAGCAATTCACCCATTCGCACAACTCCTCTCATCGCCATGCGAGACAAAGGATGGTCCGCCCTGGAAGTGTTTGCACCCCCAGAGGCAAACCGACCTCGTGACAACATCGCGAACTTCGCATCGACTGTCAAGCGGGCATGCGATCGACTAAGGGAAGTGCGCGTGGACATCGTCTCGCGGATGACCGTACACATCCATTTGTCAATGTATGGCGTGACCCTCGCTCCTCTGGAAGATGAAGTCATTGAGGAGTTTTACATTCAACCTATTACCGAGCTACATGAGATTGTCCCGAGGTCCGCTGTGGTCACGATAAATGACGACCCGCTGTTTAATGGTCTCGACCACACCGCGCTCTCCTATGGCATCGTGATCAAGAAGATTGCCAAAGAGTTACGCGCCAACGGATGCCTGGTTCTGACTACGTCAAGCCTGTGGGCGAAGTTGTTGTCGGTGACGAGCGGAACAGGGCATAGAATCAAGGCTGATCAATCTGATTTGGGATGGGCACTGTTCGAGAAATCGCTCCTGAATGAGAAAGCCCTGGCATGCATGTTGGACACGAAGAAGATCAACATTTTGTCAGCATGTATCAAGCCCTTCAACCTCGACCACGACCGCATCAGCAGGGTGTTTTTCCTTGTCGAGGATGATGAGGTAAAATTCATCGGCGCTGACGTGACCGCAGGTGAGGAGCAGCCTCCGCCACGCGGGACCTCGCGCAAGTAAGGCGAGCGGAGAGGCGACGCTCTGACCTTCCGTTCGGGAGTGAGGACGTAGCACTCATTGAGCCCGAGCCCTACTATGACAGCGAGACGTTTTGGTGGAAAATCGAACAGTACCAGACCACGAATGAGAGATCGACCGTGCCAGGAAAAGCCTTTTACTGTGAACAATGCCGAAGTCACCTCTTGGATTCCGAAAGTCTCAGGAACGCCCAGTTTGGATCTTATTGTCCTGGATGCGCCTTCAAGGAACAATGGAGGCAGTATCCCGAAGTGGTATCCTGGGATGATTGGAAGCGGCTGGAACAAAATTGCGCCGCATGCGCGGTATACCTCTACCAAACCTACTTCATTGACGTGGGGACGGGTGAAGCAATTTTCGACCCAGCCAGCAACATCAAGAACTTCATCCAGCACTGTGCCACCACAAGTCGGTCCAACCTGGCGAAAACCGTTTCGTCTCTGGGTGCCCTACGGGTTCCGGTGAACATGGCTATTGAGTATTGTCAACAAGGGCGCGCCAGACATCTCGGATGGGGGCGTGCTCTCTCCTACAATGGTCACGTATGCTATGTCGCCTATTACGACCCCGGGAATGCCGCTTACGCCGGGTTCATGAACTGCTTATTCACCCGCGAAGAGATCATTGAAATGTGTCGGGGATCTCCTGACCCCAGTGAGGAACTCCTGGGCAACATCATCGAGATTGCTACTGGAATGCTCGTTGTGGCGCTCAGATTTCCCGGTATGTTTCCCAAGTGGGGGGGCAAGCATGTCATTGAAGCCTGTCTTCGAGGAATCGAGAGATCTTTTCATCGATACGCGGCTGTGGAATCAATCACATTGTTCCCCACCCAGAATCGGAAAAGGAGAAGGCCAGCGGACATTACCCCGGAGGAACAGCAAGGCATTGAGGAAATCACACCACTCATATCATTCAACTTCTTTGCTGATCCCGCGGACAGAGCTGACGAGGATGGTGAAGCCGTGCAAACCCAAATGCCGCAACCTGTTGAGGAACCTGAATACCATGCAGCGCCTGAAGAGGACCTCGTGGTTTCCATCGCTACAGGAGAGGAGCCAGAGGAGGAAGAGGTAGAGCAGGCTGATCAGTTGGAAGGACCCGAAGGTGCTCCATCCGAAGTCTCTGAGCTCGTTCGCTTAGCTATGAATGGATTCCGACACGTTCAGGACCTCATTGCCCGAGAAGACATTTGTTTGTCATGCGGTGCGGTTGGCGATCATGGTACTCTCGACTGTAGAGTTTATCCGGCTAATCCTGAACAGATCGCTCTTGGCGTCGGCCTATTGGACTCCTTTTTCCATGGGTACAGGTCACCGCAACGCGGGTCCTCACAGCGAAGCACCGACATGGAGGTTGATCAAGTCCCTGAAGGAGATGAAAGGATTCGTGAGCCCCAGAACTCATTGTCCAGGGAATCGCTGAGGATCTTCCGGACTTCGCGAAACCGCCATGCATGGTTGGGCTGTGGTACAGCAATCCATGCATCTCTCACCTGCTCAAAAGGGATCGGCCTCGACACCAGATACACTCCATTGTCGGACAACGTCGCCCCGTAGCTCAGAAGCACGTAGGATGGGACGTACAGGACAAGCGACGGCGTTCGGGGGTCTCCGGGAATGCGGTGCCTTGTAACGAGGTTGCGATGATCCCACGGCGCAAAGACGCCGAAGTGGGTGCTCAATCGCGTCCCGTGGGGACCGCCGGGGAGAATGCCGTCGTTGATAATGCCATAAATATTCGAATCGATGTTGAATGAAATCCGCCCCCGAGGTCTTGCATCACTTGGAGCGTTGGATGGTAGGCGATTTTTGTCGAGTCAAGGCGGATCGCCGAGTAGCGGTCGACAGAGTGTCCGCTCGTGGCCCGCACGGCCCAAGGACGTATCCACACGTCTTCGCCCACATAAGCGTTGGAGTCCTCATAGCTGGTGGCTCTGGAACTTTGAAGTTCTGCGATTTGGGTCTCCATGCTCACGGGTTGGGACGATCCGGGTTCACCAGACACGAGGTGGGCAGCAAGAGGGCAGACCTTGATACCGAGGAATTGCAAACGAAACCTCTGAGTCCTTTGGCCAACCGCCCAATTTGCCCTGAGCCTTCTGCCGAAGCAGGGTTACCACGGGCTGAACGATTTGCGAAGGTGGGTTGCCAAAAGGCATCGCGCTCCAATAATGTATCCACACTCACCCAACCTCTTTCATCGCATTCCAACGTGGGAAAACTCATGACACCTCGGAATCGGACACTGTAAGCAAACCTACCAATTTTGTGCCTCAGGAAGGAATTGAAATCGTACATGAGTCGATCGAGCTGGCCAT